GGAGGGCGTGTGCGGACACGGGACAAGAGCTGGCTCCTCAGACGGTAGACGTGAGGTCAGCACACGGCCCAGGAATCCACCTCTGACCCCTCCCGCCCCCCAGGGAAGCAACCCGCCTCCCACAGAAGGCCCAGCGTGAGTGGCATGGTCACTACGGCCCCCTGGACGGACGGACAGACGGACGCACGGACACTCGGGGAAGCAGACCCGCCTCCCACAGAAGGCCCAGCGTGAGCGGCATGGTCACTACAGCCCCCTGGACGGACAGACAGACGGACAGACGGACGGACACTCGGGGGAGCAGACCCGCCTCCCACAGAAGGCCCAGCGTGAGCGGCATGGTCACTACGGCCCCCTGGACGGACGGACGGACGCACGGACGCTCGGGGGAGCAGACCCGCCTCCCACAGAAAGCCCAGCGTGAGCGGCATGGTCACTACGGCCCCCTGGACGGACGGACGGACGCACGGACACTCGGGGGAGCAGACCCGCCTCCCACAGAAAGCCCAGCGTGAGCGGCATGGTCACTACGGCCCCCTGGACGGACGGACGGACGGACACTCGGGGGAGCAGACCCGCCTCCCACAGAAGGCCCAGCGTGAGCGGCATGGTCACTACGGCCCCCTGGACGGACGGACAGATGGACGCACGGACGCTCGGACCGCTCTCTCCCTCATCGGCCCCGACGCAGCCTCGGACCCAGGACGTCCACCGTACAAAGAAGGCGGCGTTTCTTACCTAAAACGAAGCAAGGGGTTAGCGGGCGGGCGGAGGGCCTGGGGGTCCCAAGGGTGAAGTGGCAAACAGGCCGGCAGCTGCGGGAGGAGGGGGCGCCCCCCCGGCCCCCAGCTGTTCCCGTCAAAGCCCATCTTTGTTCCGACTCCGGCTCCGGCACCTGCTGCTCCCCGAAGGGGGAGCCGGGCCGCTGTCTGTCCCTCCGAGGGGAGGCCCAGGCCAGGACGGCCGGGCTGGAGGCCGCGGGGCCCCCTGCCGAACAGAGCTGCTCCCCCACCCCCCACCCTGCTCCACCCGGCAGGACCGGGTCCAGGCGCAGCCCGGTCCCTGAACGCCCCCCGCCCGACGCGGGCGGCTGCCGAGGGCACACACGTGGGACCTGCCTCTGGGTTTGCCCTGTGCGGTGGGGGCGGGGGCACTGCAGAGACATGGCTCGCCGACACGGCCCTCCTGCGAGGGCGCCGGAATTCCCGGTGGGAGACGCGTCACCCGGCCCCGGCGCCGGCGGCCTGGTGCAGGGTGAGCGTCGACCCAGGAACCAGGAGGTCACGCTGGGTTCCGGTCGGGGCACAGGTCCTGTCAAGGGCTCAGTCCCCAGTGTGAGGAGGCAGAGGCAGCTGATCAGTGATGCTCATTTCTCCCTCTCCCTTCCTCTCTTACATCCATACAAATATTTTTAAAAGTGATCAAACAAAATAGCCTTTTGCAGCCATTTTTACCTCATCACTGGAGTCTTTTCTTAACACCGAGCGGACATAAAGTTTTCTGGTGATAACACACACTCTCTCTTACACTCACACACTCACACACTCACATACACACACACACACACACACACACACGCGCGCGCACACACACACAAACTCATACACTCACACACACACACTCACACACTCACACACACTCACACTCACGCTCACACATACACATACACAATCACACTCAAATACACTTGCACACATGCACACTCACGCACACGCGCGCACACTCTCTCACACATACGCACATGCACGCACACGCACACACATGCATACTCAACATGTACACACATACACACTCACATGCATGCACACACATGCATACTCACACATACACACACTCACACATATACGCACGTGCACACACTCACACATACACCCCCGGGTCGTCCCCCACCTCAGCAAGTCCAATCTGGACTCCCCCCCCACCTTCCCCTCCCCCGTCCCATGGCACCCACGACAGAAACCTGAGGTGCCTTCCTGCACCCCCTTGTCCTGGCCCACCTCCACCCAGCACCTGCTGAGTCCTGGCCCACCTCCTCAGAAATGCAGCATTCCCGCCCCCCCACCCCCGGGCCCCTGAGAAGGGCCATCGCCCCTCACCGGGTCTCAGCTCGTCCTCCTTCCGAGCACACAGCCCTGCTGGCCCCCCTGCCGGCCTGGGGGGGCAGGAGCACGGGGGGCAGACACGCACAGCACAGGCCCTGGAGCAGGCTGACCCAGGCAGACAGACCAGGTTATTTTTACTTATTCATTTTAAAATACGTCTTCATTGATTTCAGAGAGGAAAGGAGAGGGAGATAGAGATAGAAGCATCAGTGATGAGAGGGCATCATGGACCAGCTGCCTCCTGCACGCCCCCTACTGGGGATCGAGCCCACAACCTGGGAATCAAACCCGGGACTCTAGTCCACAGGCCGATGCTCTATCCACTGAGCCACACCGGTGAGGGTGGGAACTTGGTTTTTCAGAGATGTTCTGATCAGCAGGCAAAGAGATCGGCCCGTTTAGTGAGGCGCGTTGGTGGGACTCGCTGTTCAGGAGAGAGGGAAGCCGGTTTACACGTCCTCACACCAAAATAAACGCCCGGATGGGGGAGGCAGCCGATCCGTGATTCTCTCATCACTGATGTTTCTCTCTCTGAGACCAATAAAAATGTCTTTAAAAAGTAAAAGCGTGGCCTTTCCCTGGCACAATGAGGAGCTGGACAGGCATCGTCTGGGGGGGGAGGGGGGCAGGTCAGCCCAGCCTCATCCTAACCCCGGCTCCCCCGCCCCAGCTCTGGGCTCACCGGCCGATCCCCGTGGACATCGCGAGCTGCCCCACTCGCCGGGACGGGCCCGGACACAGCATGTGACGTGGCCGCGGGCCCCGATCCCAGCCTCTCGGGAACACGGTGCCCGGACCCGCTGGGCTCGCGTGGCCCCGGCCTGCTAGCCTGGCAGCCTCTGCCGGGAGGGGGTTCGGCTTTGGCCAAAGGAAAATCAAATTCTTCGCGTGTTCAAGCCATTAGGTGTCTCTTCGGATGCGGCCCGTTTGTCTTCCGAGGCCTGAGGGAAGCGCATCCCAGGGAGGGGGGAGCAGGAGCACGGGGAGCAGACACCCTCGGCTGGGCGGCCTGTGATCTGGGGGCAGAGGGGGGAGGAGGAGAAGGGGAGGGGGTGCAGAGCAGGAGCACGGGGAGCAGACAGAGGCGGCCCTCCCCTCGGGCTGGGCGGCCTGTGAACAGGGCGGTGGCTGTTTTCCCCATCACCTGGGCCCGGGGCCAGTCTGTGGGAAAACAGCTGGAGGTCGAGCGATGGAGGAAGACAGATAACAGGAGACAGCTGTGCCCCTGCCCCCCCCCCCAGCTCAGCCAGGGGCCTGTTTCCATCAGCGGGCAGAGACAAAGCCGCTGCCAGGAGGGCCGCCCACAGTGGGTGCCCCCACCCGCCCGCCCGCCCCCCTGGCGGCCGGGAACGGGCCCAGCAGAGGGCCCGGCGCACAGGGCTCTGCCGGGACCACCCACCCCACTCAGAGCCTCCAGTTGTCCCTCTCAGCGCTCAGGGCAGCTGCTCTGTCTCCAGGGCCGGGCTGGCAGCCGGAGGGGCTCCAGTCTCCCTCCTCCAGGCCTGACGGGCCCTCGGGCCGCCTGGACTCTCCACATGTCTCCGGGCCCCGAGCACCCGGCCGCCTGTGGGGCTGTTTGGCCACTGACCTGCGAGTGACTGCCCAGCGTCCCCGCTGACCCAGCCCTCCCCGGAGGCCTCCGCGCTCCAGCCCCAGCCACAGAGAGCGAAAGCTCACCTAGCTATCTGCTCCGCTTCTGTCCACCCGGCGCTCCCCCGGAAGCTGAGGACCTGGAAACGGGGGCCCCGGGCCCAGGGCCCCAGCACAGGCCTTCCTAGACACGCACAGCCCGGGTGCCCGGAGGCGCGATCTGCAGCAGCTGGCACTCGGGCCAGGCTGGCCCTGAACTACGTGCTCACTGACCAGCCGTGCCAGGGCTGGGGGCCTGGAGGGCAGAGGATTTGCCTGAAGCACAGCTGCCCGGGCCGGGGCGGGGGGTGCTGTGGGCTCCGCGGGGAGCCGGGGTGGGCTGCAGAGCGAGCGCCTTCCCAGCAGCCGGCCTCTGGCCACCGGAGCAGGTGCCTCAGCTGGAGGGTGGGCGTGTCTGCCGGCCCCTCACCCCGGCCGGGAACGCATCGGACACGGCGATTTAGAGACGTGGACATTCAGGTCGACGCAGACGCTTCGTCGCCTGGGGAGCGAGGACACAGCGGCCGCGAACTCCAGCGAACACCGGCTCAGGGCCGAGCACAGACAGGTGCTGCCCCCCACCCCCCACCCCCCCCGGAGGCAGAAGCCCAGAGTTAGTCCCGTGGACACCAGGCGGCGGCGGGGGGTGGGGGGGCTCCCTGCTGAGTCCCACGGCTGCTCTGCCCCCTCCGACGCCCCCACCCCTGTGCCTGCACTCAGGGCCGGCCTGAACCCGGGTCCGCCCCGCACCCAGACCCCAACCTCACACCACACAGTCCTCCGTGCCGGGGAAGGGGACCCCGGCTCTCTGAACCACGTGACTGTCACCCGGACCCCTCGGAGGGGCACTCCAGCCCAGGCCCCGCGGGCAGCAAGCTCGGGCAGCACGGAGCACCTCACACGGAGGCGCTGGACAAGGGGAGGTGAGGGCCTCAGGTGCCGAGCCAGCGAGCAGGAGGCTGCCTGTTCCGGACGCGGCTACCGCGGGGCCGTGTGCCTCGGGACGGTGTCGCCAAGACCCTCAGCCCGAGCGCGCGGCCAGGAGTGCCTCGGTGTGCCTACAGCGCGTTCCCGAGCGCGCGGCCAGGAGGGCCTCGGTGTGCCCACAGCACGTTCCAGGAGGGGCCTCGGTCTGCCCACAGCACGTTCCCGAGCGCGCGGCCAGGAGGGGCCTCGGTGTGCCCACAGCGCGTTCCCGAGCGCGGCCAGGAGGGCGTCCGTGTGCCCCGCGCGGCCAGGAGGGCCTCAGTGTGCCTGCCCCATCCGTACCTCCTCTCGTTGTCGTCCAGGTGGGCGAACAGCACGTTCCTGGAGATGGCCTTGGCCAGCGCCGTCATGGTCTTGTAGTCCTTGGGGATGACCTGTGGGGGAGGAGCGGTCAGGCCTGGGCACCCGGCACCTGCCTGACCGAGATACGGGCACGGCTCCCGCCACCCCCGACTCAGCCTCGCGGGTTCCAGCCATGTCAGGTGCGCCACGTGCTTTTAATTTAAGAAATAAAATTTTAAAAAAGGCCGAAACCGGTTTGGCTCAGTGGATAGAGCGTCAGCCTGCGGACGGAAGGGTCCCGGGTTCGATTCCGGTCAAGGGCATGGACCTTGGTTGCGGACACATCCCCAGTGGGGGGTGTGCAGCAGGCAGCTGGTCCATGTTTCTCTCTCGTCGATGTTTCTGACTTTCCCTCTCCCTTCCTCTCTGTAAAAACCAATAAAATATGAGAAACAGAAAAGGAAGAAGAGAAACGAGGCCCCAGGTGGCTGCAGCGCTGTCTGGGTCTCGGGGGACGGCCCAGGCTCGGAGCCTCGTAGAAGATGCCAGAAGCGCGCACGGCCCTCGGCCCCCTGGACTGCGCCCTCCTTGCTCCGGTGACCTTGCCGGCCGGTCCTCCTGGGGTCCTGAGTAGGTGCCGGGGTCTAGGGAGGGGCCCCCAGAAGTGAGGGGGCCTGCGGACATTAAGCACGTGTCACTGGTTCTCGTGCTCTCACCAGGAAAGCGCTCAGGCTGGGTTGGGGTGAGGGGTGAGGGCTGAGGGGGCGTGCAGGGAGGACGGAGCCCTGGCTGGTCACTCGGGGGTGAGAGCGTCCACAGACACAGCAGGGCAGTGGGCTCACCCGTCAGGACACACGCAGCACCCACAGTGAGCAGGGACAGCACTCAGCAATCGATACCTCTCTCCCTCTCAAGTCAAGTTTAAAAAAAGCGAGTACCCAGGCCGGAGCGGCTGTGGTTGGAGCGTCCGCGGGCGCACCCGGACCCCTCGGAGGGGCATTCCAGCCCAGGCGGGCGGTGGCCCGCCGGGCCGCACCCACCTTCCGCACGTAGGACGCGGCGTCCTCCTCGGTGTACACCTCGGCGCTCACGCCCCCCCGCCGGCAGCGGGCCTTCACCGCCGGGTTCGGCAGCGTCGGCGAGGCCTCCTCATCGTGCGCGTCCGACTGGGCGGCCGACTTCTGAGCCAGAATCTGTCTGTTCTCTTCCTGTGGGGGCACGGGGAGGGGGGGCCGGGGCCACGTCACCAGCCGTCCGCTCGCAGGAGCCACGGAGCTGGGGGCACGGGAGGGGGGGCTGGGGCCACGTCACCAGCCGTCCGCTCGCAGGAGCCACGGAGCTGGGGGCACGGGGAGGGGGGGCCAGGGGGGGCTGGGAAGAGGGAGGGGGGCCGGGGTCGGGGCCACATCACCAGCCGTCCGCTTGCAGGAGCCAGCAGAGTGGGGAGACCGGGCATCCTCCTCCCCACCCCACCCCCAGGCTGTCCCTGGCGAACTCCTATACACGCTTCAAGGCCCGTTTCCATGTCACCTCCCAGATCACCCTTCCCACCACCCACAGAGCATCCCCGTGCCTTCCTGTGGGAGCCTCAGCACGACCGTGGACCCCCCGCCCCCCCACACACAGAGGGGAGCCACAGGCGCTGGGTGAACGAGTGAGGCGGGAATGAATGGGCATGGACAAAGGAAGGAGAGAAGACGAACCGAGGCAGAGGGCGGAGCCCCGTTCCTGCAGCGTGGGAACATCCAACCACAGACACCCTCAGCCACCGGTGTCAGCGCGAGCGGCATCCCAGGCCCACGGGGCAGGGAGACACCCATAGCGAGAGGGCCCGACCCAGCCTCAGCCTCACGCCACCCCCACCAGGGTGCCCATCGGGGGCCGTGGGGACGGACAGGCCCTGGGGGGTCAGCGGGACAGACAGCCCCTGGGGGGTCAGCGGACGGACAGCCCCTGGGGGGTCAGCGGACGGACAGCCCCTGGGGGGTCAGCGGACGGACAGCCCCTGGGGGGTCAGTGGGACGGACAGCCCCTGGGGGGTCAGCGGACGGACAGCCCCTGGGGGGTCATCGGACGGACAGCCCCTGGGGGGTCAGCGGACGGACAGCCCCTGGGGGGTCAGCGGACGGACAGCCCCTGGGGGGTCAGCGGACGGACAGCCCCTGGGGGGTCAGCGGACGGACAGCCCCTGGGGGGTCAGCGGACAGACAGCCCCTGGGGGGGTCGTGGCTGAAGTCGCTGTGACCACAGGGAGCGGCCTGCCAGCAGCTGGCGAAACCCAGGAGGCGGCTTGTGGGCAGCGTGGAGCTGGCAGAGGGGCCGCCTGGAAACGCAGGGGCCCTCAGACGGGGGCGGGGGGCGGGGGCGGGGGGACAGGAGGTCCGGGTCCGGCTGCAGACCCAGACCTTCCCGCAGCCCCAGAAGCCCGCCATCCTGGACCAAGGCGCTGTGTGCCCGCGGGCGCTCAGGCGGACACGGGAGGCCGGCATGTGAGGCGGCGGTGGCCCGTTCGTGGGGCATCGCCTCCCGGACCCCAGTTCCAGGAAAGCCGGTTCTCGGGCCCCTTCCTGTCTCCGTGCCCACCGGTGAGCTGTCCGGGCCGGATGGCCGGCGGGGCCTTCCCAACAGCTTCCGGAAAGCTCCAAGCCGGCATCGGCCTCCGGACCGGGCACACGGCCCAGGGGCTGTCCCTGCCGGTCCAGCCAGCTCTGCCCGGACCTCAGTGACGGTCCCGTCTCCTGCTGACCTGGCTCTTCCTGCCCGAGGGGCACCGACTCGCGGCCAGGAAGGGAACACTGGCGGGAGGTGCCCTCCCCTCCCCTCCCCACCCGGCGCCTGACCTGGGAGGAGGGACCTGCCCCCGCCCCCCTGCCCACCTGCCCACCGGGCCGAGCCTGCCCCCACCCCGGTTTCCAAGGCCTTCCCTTCGCCTCGGCCCAGAGGAGGCCCCACCCACGGGAGCCTCCTGGGAGGAGGTGCCGCGCCACCAGGGCCCGGGTCACCAGCCCCAACCCTGTGGGTCTCAGAGAGCAAGGCAGGCCCGGCCGAGGGGGGAACCGAGGCTGGAGAGGACACACGGACGTCCAGGGCGGTGAGGGAGCAGCTCCGCCCTCACTGGGCACCTCCGCACACCCCCTCCGAGGCGGCCAGAGGGGCCGCGATCTCACAGGACAGACAGACGTGGCCGGGCCCAGCAGGTCGGGGTGAGCACGCGAGAGGACAGGTGGAGGCTGTGCGAGCGAGCGAGCAAGGGGAGGCTCCAGACCTCCCTCGTGGAGGAGCAGTCACGGAGGGCCTCCTGGAGGCAGTGTCTTCTGAGCCGACCCCGATGAGAAGAGCCGAAGCCAGGGGCACCCCGTGGGCAGCTGGGAACTCCCCCTCGCCGCTCCCCGCACCCGCTCAGGGCAGCACGCCTCTCCTTCACTCCGTCCGCGGCCTTCCCAGACGTCTGTCTGTCTTTCTGTCTGTTCCTTCCTCTCTTCAGTCAGCCTTGCTTTGTCTTCAGTTTCCTCAGCTTCCACTTCATTACCTTCTGCTTTCTATCATTTCTTCCTTGTTTTCATTTTTTATTTTTCTGGCTTTATTTCTCTAGTTCTGACTTCCCTCAGAAGCTCCCACCCATCCGGAACCACACAGGGTGGTCTTTAATTGGAAGAGAGTCTTTGCAGATCCAGTCAGGTGGAGACGCGTCATCCTGATGGGGGTGGGGGAACCCCATGATTGCGTCCTGACAGGAAGAGTGTGGGCACAGACAGACCCGCGGTGGTGGAGGCGGAGATGGTGGATCCAGCGCCCGCCCAGGGGGCTTCCCCCTCAGAGCCCAGGGGAACCGCCCGACCAGCCCTGGTGTGGGCTTCTGGCCCCAGAAGGGGTGACGGGGGGGGGGGGGGCCAAGAAGGGAGGAGAGGGCACTGCCGTCCCACCGTGATCATCCATGGCAGCTGGGAAACCTAGTTCCGACCTGGTTTCCTCACGAAGCTACGTGCGTTGGGGTGACAGTCAATTTGCACGTCACTCCTTTATTAGATAGATTATAGATAGAGGCCCGGCACGGTTTCCTCTAACTACCCACTGTGCTGCACCCCACAGGGTTAGACAGGAGGGGCTTGGCTGTCACTCAATTCTAAAAACCTCATCGCTTTTCTCGGACAGTCTTCTTTAGCCATAAGCAGTGCAAAAGCTCTCTACTGGTTTCCAAACATACAGGGTAGACTCTCTTTCTGGCTTTTTATTAACAGCCTGTAGCTCACTTGGACTGTTAAATAATGTGGTTTTTAAAATATTTTTATTGATTTTAGAGAGGGAGAGGGAGAGAGAGAAACATCAGTGATGAGAGAGGATCATTCATCAGCTGCCTCCTGCACGCTCCCTACCAGGGACTGAGCCCACAACCCCGACCTCCTGGTTCACAGGTCAATGCTCAACCATTGAGCCACACCAGCCAGGGGAAGATATGGGTTTTGAGCGAGAAATAGATTTGAACTCATCCTAGGGTGCCTTGAAATGATGTCCCACAGGGCACACCCTGGGTTCTAAAATTCTAAAATTCTGGTTTGTGCACCTTCTCGGCATTCCGTACGCTCTGAAGGCCCAGGAAAAGGGGAAGGCTGGGCTCAGGAGCCACAGGAGATGCCGGGGCCTCCCACACGGCAGCCACAGCCACGGGACCCTGATGCCCACCAGGGGCTTCAGGTCACCACACAGGCGGGCAAAGCAGGCTCACAGTGTGAGATGTGGAAGCTCACTCTGTCATTTATTAACGAGAGGCCCAGTGTACGAAATCTGTGCAAGGGGCTGGGCCCCTGCCACCGCGGCTTCGCCCTGAAGGTCGTCCAAAGCATATTATGCTTTTATTATTGTAGACTAGAGGCCCACTGCATGAAAACCGTGCCCAGTCTGCACCCTCTCCAATCTGGGACCCCTGGAGGGATGTCCCACTGCCCGTTTAGGTCCGATCCAACTGGGATCAGGTCTAACGGGCAGTCGGACATCCCTCTCAATCCAGGACTGCTGGCTGCTTGCCTGCCTGCCTTCCTGATTGCCCCTAACTGCTTCTGCCTGCCAGCCTGATCACCCCTAACCACTCCCCTGCCAGCCTGATCGACACCTAACTGCTCCCCTGCTGGCCCAATTGCCCCTAACTGCCCTCCCCTGCTGGCTTGGTTGCTCCTAACTGCCCTTCCCTGAAGGCCTGCATCCGCCCTCCCCCAACTGCCCTCCCATGCCAGCCTGGTCATCCCTAACTGCCCTCCCCTGCTGGCCATCTTGTGGTGGCCACCTTGTTTCCACATAGGGGCAGGATCTTTGATCACATGGGGCGGAGTTGTGTGTTGGGGTGACAGTCAATTTGCACGTCACTCCTTTATTAGATAGATTATAGATAGAGGCCCGGCACGGAATCCGTGTGCAGGTACAGTCTCCAGGCCTGGCCTGGGATCAGGCCCCGTCCCCCTGCCACCACCCACCCCTGGCTCCCCGTCCACCATCAGCAATGGGAGTCTGTGGCCAGGGAAGGGACCAGAGGTGGCCAGTGCGCCTCCGTGACCGGCCGATTGGTGGTTCCGCCGTTCGGTCGATTTGCATGTTACTCTCTTCCGTGTATCGATTACCGTGTTGTCTTCCACGCAAACTGTGAACCTACTTCTGCCCATGCCCGTGTGCGGCGCTGGTTCACGGGTTTTCACGGTGAGCCACACGGACCCAGGAAGTCACGACAGGGAAGGGGTGCTGTGCTCTCTGCCCAGCTTCTCCGAAACAGCCCATCGCTTGAACAGGCCCTGCGTGTGACACGGATCGGACAGGCCCTGCGTGTGACACGGATCGGACAGGCCCCATGTGACAACGATCGGACAGGCCCCGCGTGTGACACGGATCGGACAGGCCCTGCGTGTGACACGGATCGGACAGGCCCCGCGTGTGACATGGATCGGACAGGCCCTGCGTGTGACACGGATCGGACAGGCCCCGCGTGTGACACGGATCGGACAGTCCCTGCATGTGACACGGATCGGACAGGCCCCATGTGACAACGATCGGACAGGCCCCGCGTGTGACACGGATCGGACAGGCCTCGCGTGACACGGATCGGACAGGTGTGCCCGTGGTGCCCTCGGGGACACGCTGCGTGGAGCCTGGCATGCAGCGACAGCAGGACCACGCCGCCAGCAGCAATCCTGACCAGCAGCTCCGTCCACTCGGCCACGTGTGA